ACCAGAAGCTGGCGTGCAGGACGAGGATAGTACGGCTGGCGTGGTCCCGCCCCGCGGGCCACCGACGAAGGGCGTGATCCCGCTCCTCGGGCCACCCAGGGCACGAGCCCAACTTGGCGTGGCCCCGCTCTTCGGGTCGCCGGGGCAGGAGTCCTCCCGCGGGGACGCCATGGAACCCGCGGCAGAACCAGCGCCGCGCACGCTATCGGCGGAGCAGCGGGGCGTCGGGAAGGCTTGTGATGACGGCTACGAACCCCGCGGGGCGATTGCCCCACTCCCCACAAACCCGACCACGACGAGTTAGAGGATGAAGACTTGCTCCGTGAGCACACCGACACGGAGCTCGTCATGAAGGGCGTCCACTTTTCAGGAGGCCCATGAGGGGCGGCCCTCTCCCGCCTGCCGTGGCCGCGCCGCGGTCGGCCGGCCTGCTTCGGGGTGCCCAGGGACACATTGGCCGCCTCGCAGATCGCTCGTACTCATATCTTCTACGCTGTGTTCCTCCTCCTCCTCCTCCTCCTCCTCCTCCTCCTCCTCCTCCTCCTCCTCCTCGCCTGGCTAGTCTTGCACTGTGGGCTGGGGCGGCTGCCTCTAAGCTTTCAAAGCCCGTCCTGGGGGAGTTTGGGTTTTCTACTTCGCGACCGATTGCTCATTTGTACGCGTTGCCGCCATCGCCATGATTACTGCTATCATCCTCGCCTTCCCCACCGAGTCCACGGGCCCTAAAGATCTTGACATCTTCCCTTGGGGCATGTTTCCCTCCCAAATCCGTGCTAGACTGTTCCAGGGCACGGCCCCCAACGGTCGACATAAAGGAAAAACGCCAAGCTTGACGAGAGCAACCCACCAAAAAATCTAGACACTTCGCGTAACCCCACCAGCTTGCGTTAATTTAGGCCGTTGCTTGCTCGCAGTACCCTGACGCCGCCCGACCTGTTCTTCGCCGCGGTCGCGATCAAAAAAAACACCAGCCCATCCAGACACGATGCCCAGAGGAATTGCAACGATCAGGGAAGTGGGCAGCACACAGAAGGGTCCCCCAGTGGAGGCCTCTTGGAGCGTCCTGGGGGCCTCTTGGCGGCCCCAGACGCCTCTTAGAGCGTCTTGGGTGCCTTGGAGAGCTTCTTGGGGGCCTCTTGGGCGCCTGTGGGCCCCCTGGGCGCCTTTTGGGGCCCTCTTGAAGCGCTCTTGGGAGCCTTGGGAGCGCTCTTGGAGCCCTCTTCGGCCATCTTGGAGCCATCTTGAGGCCTCGGATGGCCATTGGAAGCGAAAAGGCGAGAAAACTCCTCAGGTTTGGGAAGGATTGTGGCCTCTTCGGGGCCTCCTGGGGTAGGTCTTTGGCCACTTGGAGCTATCTTTGAGCGGTCTTGGGGCCTCTTGGAGCATCGCGGGAGCCATCTTGAGGCATCTTGGGATATCTTGAGCCATCTTGGAGGTCATCTTGGGCTCTCCCAGGCGCTCTTGGAGTCATCTTAAGAAGTGCCCCCCCCCCCAGGAGGCCAAAATGTAGCCAAAACCTGTTGTAAAATCAGCGATGTTGGCATGCTCGCCGAGGCCTCTTGGAGCGTCGTGGGTGCCTCTTGGGGGCCGCTTGTGGCCTCCTGGGGGTCTTTTGGGAGCCTCTTGGGGGCATCCTGGCCCCCAAGAGGGCCGGCCCCCCCACCCAGAAAAAGCATTGACGCCCCTCAGGCGGACGGCGTGGAGCAGGAAAACGCGGCCCACGCCGCGGCGGCAGCGGCGGCGGGCGGACTTTCCCCACCCCCTCCCTTATCCCTCCCCCTGGCTCGGTCGGCGGCGGCGCAGGCGGCAGCCTGGTCGACGCCCCTCCTTCCTCAGGGGGGGGTGGGCGGGGTGACTGAGGCTCAGCTAAGGCGCTGGCAGGCAGTGCAAAACTGCCGCGGCGGCCACCGAGCAGGCGGACCACGCACGCCCCGGCCAAAGGCCGGAGAGCATGCGGTAAGGCCAAAGGACGCCTACCGCATTTTCACTTTGCAGCGTCCTGTTGGGAGTCTCTTGGGGCCTCCTGGCCGCCTCTTGGGGCCCTCTTGGGGCACCCTTGAGAGCGCTCGTGGGGCCATTTGGGAGGAGATCGATCAAAGAAGAGAGGTTCCCCAAATAGCGCTGCCCCCTCAAGAGGCCCACATGGGGCCAAAGCCCAAGTAAACCAATGATTTGGGCTTCCTCGCAGTGGCCGTTTTGGACGCCCCGACCGCTCGCGGAACGCCCCGTCCAAGTCCAGGGGAGGGGGTGGGGGGAGGGGTCAAGTCACCCCCTCCCCGCCCGCAAGCCGTCTCGCTCACTCCCACCCGCCCTCCCAACACATACGTAGCACCCGAGTCTGGCCCGAGCCTCAGCATATTCAGCAGTCGTTTTTGGATGGGCAGCTACTGGGGGCCAATCCGCCGCCGCCGCCTCCGCCGCCGCCGCCGCCGCCGCCGCTGCCCGTCGCCGCCGCCTGCCGCCGCCGCCGCCGCCGCCGCCGCCGCCGCCGCCGCCGCCGCCGCCGCCGCCGCCGCCCGCCGCCCGCCGCCGCCGCCGCGCAGCCGCAGCCGCAGCCGCTGCCGCCACCGCCGCCGCCGCCGCCGCGCCGCCGCCGCCGCCCGCAGCCGCCGCAGCCGCCGCCGCCGCCGCCGCCGCCCCCGCCGCCCCCACCGCCGCCGCCGCCGCCGCAGCCGCCGCAGCCGCCGCTACCGCCGTCGCAGCCTCCGCCGCCGCCGCCGCCAAGTGCATTCTGTATTGTTACCTAACAGCTCTTGCTGATAGGTTTCAGAGCATCATGACTCCTCAGTGGGGTCTGGGCGGGACCCGGGAGGCTGCCGCCGAAGCCGAAATCGCTTGGGACATCCTCGCAAAATCGCTCTTGGTGCTCCCAGAACTCCATTCCCGGGCCACATTTTGGATGCCCGGAGCCAACTGTAGGCCACTTCGTGCTCTTCGACTTCCCAGAACTCCATTCCCGGGCCACATTTTGGATGCCCGGAGCCAACTGTAGGCCACTTCGTGCTCTTCAAGTTCCCAGAACTCCATTCTGGGCATGATTTTGAATGCCCGGAGCCAACTGTAGGCCACTTCGTGTTCTTCTAGTTCCCAGAACTCCATTCCTGGGCCACATTTTGAATGCTGAGGCAGGCTGATGCTGCGGCCGAGGCAGGCTGAGGCTGAGGCAGGCTGAGGCTGAGGCCGAGGCTGAAGGCAGACTGAGGCTGAGGCTGAAGCAGACTGAGGCTGAGGCTGAGGCAGGCTGAGGCTGAGGCTGAGGCAGGCTGATGCTGAGGCAGGCTGAGGCTGAGGCTGAGGCTGATGCAGGCTGAGGCTGAGGCAGGCTGAGGCTGAGGCCGAGGCTGAAGGCAGACTGAGGCTGAGGCTGAAGCAGGCTGAGGCTGAGGCTGAGGCAGGCTGAGGCTGAGGCAGGCTGAGGCTGAGGCTGAGGCAGGCTGAGGCTGAGGCTGTGACTGCGACTGCCGTTGCCGCTGCGACTGTCATCGCGAATGCGACTACGACTGCGAGAACAGCAGAATTCGACAACTGGATTTTCATCTGAATCTTAAGGGGAATGCTTTCAGATATGCTTCTACACATCGCTGTTAGGTTGCTTTGCCGGGATAATTTTTTGACAGGGATGGTGGGGGGGCCGCATCGGGTTGGCTGCGCATGTTCCGAATTTGGAGGCAGAGTGTGTTTCGCATTGTTTTTACAAGGGATGGTGGGAGGGGTTGGCATGGACCCTGGTTGGCCCCCAGTCGCCTGGGGGAGGGGGTGTTCATTCATAGGGAACAGTGATCAAGACCCCCTCCCGCCCGCAAGCCGTCTCGCTCACTCCCACCCGCCCTCCCGACACATACGTAGCACCCGAGTCTGGCCCGAGCTTCAGCATATTCAGCAGCCGTTTTTGGATGGGCAGCTACTGGGGGCCAATCCGCCGCCGCCGCCTCCGCCGCCGCCGCCGCCGCCGCCGCCGCCGCCGCTGCCCGTCGCCGCCGCCGCCGCCGCCGCGCCGCCGCCGCCGCCGCCGCCGCCGCCGCCGCCGCTCGCCGCCCGCCGCCGGCCGCCGCCGCCTGCCGCCGCCGCCCCCGCCCCCCCCCCGCTGCCAAACCGCCGCCGCAGCCGCAGTTGCTGCCGCCACCGCCGCCGCCGCAGCCGCCGCCGCCGCCGCCGCCCCGCCCCCGCCCCCGCCGCCGCCCCGCCGCCCCCGCCGCCCCCGCCGCAGCCGCCGCAGCCGCCGCCGCCGCCGCAGCCGCCGCAGCAGCCGCCGCCGCCAAGTGTACTTTGTACTTTGTTTTTTTGTTCCGAATTTGGAGGCAGAATGTGTTTTGTATTGTTTTTTACAAGGGATGGCGGGGGGGGTGTTGTCATGGACTCGGGTTGGCCCCCTGTCGCCTGGGGGAGGGGGTGTTTATAATAGGGAACAATGATACACCCCTCCCCGAAGGGGAAGAGGGAGGGGTGGAAGAGGAAACGCCCTAAACCACCTACGCCCAGAGGGGTGGTGGGATTTTGCCAGCCTGGCCGACCCCTTCCGCGACGACCCCCTCGCCTCGCTCCAAGCCGCGGGCTCACTGCCGGAGGAGGGCCTCGAGGGTGAGGGGGGGGTCGTTGCGGACCCGGACATCCGCCGATATGATTTTCTCCATCCGCGGCCCCTGAGTTAAGTCGGGCACGTCCCTCTACAGGAGGAATATTCAAGAATGGTACAAAAAATAGTCTGGGGACGATGTTTCTTTGATTCTTTGTCACTTTGGGAATCTGTTGTTGGGGTATGCCTCATTTTTTGTCCAACATCCCCCTGTAGGAGGACATGCCCGACCTAACCCCAGAGGTCCCGACCCCTTCCCCAGGGTCGTTTTTCGTCCCAGATCCTTCTTGGATGGTGCCCGGGCCCGATAACGGGCCCTGGAGGCCGAACTCCGGGGAAAGCCGCCGGATTGAAAAGATCGGCTCCGCGCATCTCCGGGGAGGGAGCGCGTCGCGACAGGGGTCGGCGGGGCCGCCCCCGACGGGAGGCGCACCTGGCCAGCCGGGGCTTCCCGCCCCACCACTTGGGGCTCATGTGCCCGAAGGGCGACGTCGCCGAGGCGCCGGCGCCGCGCCGGCGAGAGCGCTTCCTCTCGGGGAAGGCAGAGGGAGGGGGTCACGGAGCCCTCCAGAGGACCAGTCGCCAGGAGGGCGCCCAAGGAGGAGGAGGAGGAGGAGGAGGAGGAGGAGGAGCGAAAGCCCGTCGCCCTTCTCGCGACTTGGTCTCCCAACTCTCACCAACTTTTAGCAGGCATGTTTCATGGGGTGGCACCCGAACCGCCATTTGGCCATCGAGGAGGAGCGAAAGGACGAGGGGGAGGTTGAGGAGAAAGGGGGAAACCCTCACCCTCCCCTTTTCCCCGCCCACAGAGGCGAGATGAGGAGGTCGGGGTCAGAGGGACCGAGGGAGGAGGAGGAGGTGGGAGGAGGAGGAGGAGGAGGAGGAGGGGAAGAAGGAAACCTCAGGAGAAAACCTCCTCAAGACTTCCCCGACGCTTGTCCTCCTCCTCCTCCTCCTCCTCCTCCTCCTCCTCCTCCTTCTCCTCCTCCTCCTCCTCCTCCCCCTCCACTTCTCAAGCCTTAACCATTGTGCAGACGACCGTTGGTCTCAAGCCCCACCATGCCATAAACAGGAGGCGTCAGACCCTGGAGGATCCCTTATCTGATGAGGGCGGCGGTGCTGTTCATGGCCAAGCGTCAGTTGGCGTTCCACCGGAAATCAGACCCTGGGTTCCCTATCCAAGGGTTCCTTATCCAATGCCCGCACCGTAATACAACGCGGGCCACGCGCGCCATTATCAGAATGCGCGCGTCAGCTCATAAACTTGCACGGGCTTTTGCATGAATTGGCTGCATCACTTCACGCGTGCATGTGCGTGACGGCGCATCCGCACCCGCGGGAGGATATAGCATCATCACGACGTGTGGGACTATCATACGTATGCCAATGACTCAGGGCGATGGGCATGATCTCTTCCAGTAACTATGTGGCCTTTACCTGTCCCTATCCTCCTCCGAACCCTCCCATCATCCTCCTGCTCCTGTTCCTCCGACCTCACCTCCTCCTTCTATTCCTGCTCCTCCGATCCACCCCCCCTCCTGCTCACCTGACCCCTCCCCCCAGAGGCCTCCCCGACGCTCCTCCTGGAACGGGCCCCCGCCGACGTCGCGGCCGCCGCGGCGTCCGCGATGCCCCCAGTCCACCTCTACCACGGCGAGGCATGCTGCGGTGCCCACCTCGTCGTCTTCGTCGTTGCCCGTCGTCGTCGTCGCTCGTCGCTCGTCGTCGTTCGTTGTCGTCGCTCGTCGCCGTCGGTGCGAGGCTTCTTCGTCGTCGTCTTCCTGCCCTTTTCTCCGTTGTGTTCGCCGCCCTCGTTGCTCGTCGTTCGTCGCCCCTGTTCGTCGTCGTCTCCCCGTTCCGCACCCTCCCTGCCCCTCTGGCCGCCCCTCGGTGGTCACTCGGCGCGCCGCGGGGCGGCACGACGTGCGGGCCCCCCCCCTGCTGCCGGCCTCGACCGCACCATGGCGCACACCCCCCTCCGGAAGCGACCCCAGGGTGTCCCGACGCGCTCCCACGATGGCCCCGGGCGGCACCAGGTGAGCACCAGGTCGAGCAGGCGCGAAGCGTCCTGGCTCGCCTACAGGCCTGCCAAGGAATGCTCTAAGAGCCTCTTGTGGTCTGCAGGAAATGTTCTTAGAACATGTCAGGCTGGGTCTGTCGTGGTTTAACACATATGCTTATGTTCTAAGAACATTGTTTTGTGATGAGAGCAGTTTGGGGTTCTAAGAACATGTCGTGGTAGGCCTATAGAAATGCCGGGACGGTCGGTCCCTGCTCAACCAAGGGCGGCCCAGGGGTTGGCCGGCCCCGACTGCACCACACTGTGCCCCCCAGGCTCGGGTGGGCCCGAGCCCCAACACCCGCCCCTGAATCCCTCCGCGAAGGCTCTCCCTTCACCCATGGGCGCGCCCCCTCCTCCCTGGGTCCGAGGAGGGAAGTGGTCATCCATAACCACCGCCTTGGGGATCGATCTTCGGGGACCTCGGTCGGCGTCGGGGCTGTGGGTGTGGGCATATTCGGGCCCTGGGGTGGGGGGGAGGGGGCCGAGCATTCCACGGCCGCCGCTTGCCGAGCTCCCCGCAGATCGATGCCCCAGGCGGTGATGTGGACAACTCCCCGCCTCGCACGAAGGGGGCCTGCGAGAGCGAGCCCGAGCATGCTCGGCAGAGCTCACGAGCCCGTAGGGGCGCCTAGGGCTCGCCCAGGAGAAGCCCCCAAGACCCTCTCCCGCGCCGGCCCCCAGATCGGCGCCAGGCGCGCCAGGGCCTCGTGGTCTCCTGTTCGCGGCCATGCGCCTCTCGACTCCCGCTGTTTTGGGGGGGGGCGCGAGGCTCAGCAGCGCGAGCGGCCTGCCCGCGGCGTTGCGCGAGCCTGTTCGTGCTGCTGCTCCTCCTGCTCCTCCTTCCTCGTGCTGCTCCCTCCTGCTGCTGCTCTCGCCTCCTGCTCCTCCTCCTCCTCCTCCTCCTGCTATAGTATTCCTTCCAAACGTTCATCCTTCCTGCTGCTCTCCTCCCCATACACTATCATCCCCAGATTGCTCCGCGTCATCACTTACAGAGGCGACAGCTGCTTGCACAACACTCCTTACCGCCATCGGCCCAATCATGATCACAGCTTGCGTCATAAGATTTCGGTATGCGAGTGTGTTCCCACTACCCAGCGCTGGCTGTGTCGGTCACGTGTTCGTTTTTTTGTTTGGTTATGCTCATTGCGCGACCAGCCACAGGCAATGGCCTACGAGCGTGGATATCCACAAGGCGCACATGTGATATTTTGTACAGAGAGCACCGCTAGCATCAAGTGGCACGTTGTCCTATGAGCATGCGCGCATTTATATACAATCCAGGTCTTCCAAGGAGTCCGTCTGCAAGACCTGCGGCCATTTGCATTGTGAACTGACTGGTTTGCATTGCTGTCTGGTCGAACGCTTAGTGGCAGCAGGATGGCAGCCCCTTTGCCACCTTGGTAACGGCACCGATGTTCCTGGAACTTGCAGTTGCATGTAGGTAAACGTGTGTGTATGTTTGTGTATGTGCGAGTGTGTTTGTTTGAGGATGTTTATGTGTGCGTGCGTGCGTTCGTGTGTGTGTGTGTGCGTGTGTGCGTGTTTGTTCGTTTGTGTGTGTGTGTCTGCGTGTGCGTGCGTGCGTGCGAGCGTGTGTGTGTGTGTGCATGTGTGTGTCTGTGGTTTGCGTGCGTGTGTGTGTGTGTAGCGTGGTGTGTGTGTGTGTGTGTTGTGTGGGTTGTGTGGGTTGCTGCACCCCGCCCTGGGTGCCCGAGGCCGCCTGCGCGCCCCTCGCCCGTCGGCTCTCGACGACCGGGCTGCTCCTTCTTCCCCAGAGGGCCCTTCAGGGCTCCTCTTGGGCCCCCGCTGGCTCCAGCAGGGGCCCTCAAGGGCCCCCTTCCCTTCGCCCCCCCCCCTTGAGGTCACCCCCCAATAGCGGCGGCGGCATCCGAGAAGGAACGTCTCCCTGGGGCACAGACCCTGGCGCATTCCTTACTGTTCCCAAGGCCAGGTGGGTGGCCCACGTTTGGCCGCCCATCGGTCGCGAGACCCTGGGTTCCTTATCGAAGGCGTCCTTCTCTGAAGCCTCCGCCGTGCCGCCCGCCCGGCTCTCCGGCGGGCCCGCCGCCCTGCCCACGACCCCGACGCCCGCCCGCGCGGCGGCCGACACCGTCGCCCCGGTCTTCCTCGGCCCCGCCGCCCCCATGCCTGCCACTCGCGCCGTTCCCCCACCCCCTGGGCCCCTTTCCCCCTCTTGCCTCCCTCTGCTCATCCTCTCTCCTCGTCTCCTTCTCTCCCCCCCTGCCTCCCTGGTCGTCCGCCTCCTCTCCCTCACCCTGACAGGGAGAGAGAGAGAGAGAGAGACAAAACATATCTATAAACATGTGTATACGAACATATGTGTAACTACACATACCTACCTACCTACCTACCTACCTACCTACATACCTACCTACCTACCTACATACATACATACATACATACATACATACATACATACATACATACATGCATGCATGCATGCATACATACATACATACACACATATGTACATGCATACGAATATACATGCATGCATAAATACATACATCCATACATACGTACATACATACATGCATGCAGGCAGGCAGGCATACATACATATATACGTACATACATACATATACAAGACTGCATTGGCGCTTCGCGCCATGCACCTTGGTCTTTGAGGCTTTGCATCTGTTGGTCGTTCGCGCCATCCCTAGTGGCCTTGGAAATTGGGCACCTTCCCTGCGGTGGTGTTCAGAAGTCTTCGAAAGTTCGGGCGGTCTCTCGCCCTTCCCGAGCCTCTGGGGGCTACCGAAAGGCGCCGGGTGGAGGGCGAAGGATAGGAAGGAGGGAATCTCGGGGAGCGAGGAAAGCAAGCGGATGTGGGTGAGGACGACTGTTGCAGCGGGTTGCAGCGGGTCGCAACGGGGCACGCGAACGCAAGTAAGTCTTAGGGAATGCACCCAACCCCAGGTTCGCAGCAGATTTCCAGGATTCGTGCTTGCGAGCCCGGGATTCGGGTCAGTTTGGTTGAAAGCGCCGTGTGGACCGTGTTGGAGCCCTGGTGGGCCGGCTTGGGGCCGCCTCGAGCCGTCTTGGGGCCATTTTGGGCCATGCTGGAGAGTTTGAGCCCTCTAGAGACCTTGCGGGGGCTACGTAGACCCTCCTGTTGGCCTTCCATGGCCTTCTGGGGGCCCCCATGGCCTTCTTGGGCTTCTCTTCGGGGCCTTGCTCAGGCTTGTTGGGATGCATTTTAATTAATTTAGGGTTTCCTTGGGCAATCTTGGGCCGTCCAGGCCGTCTAGAGGCTCTCTTAGGTGGTCTCTTGGGCTGTCCTGGGGCGATACCGGAGGCCTTCTCGGTTGTTTTGGACGCTGCTAAGACCCGAACAGCGAATGTACTGAAAATGCACGTCTTCCTGAGAGAATGAAGCGATGTTTGCGTTCTGGGAGTCCTGTTGAGGGCCTCCTGGGCCGTCTTGGGAGCCTCTGAAGGCCCTCTGGGTCCTTCTTGGAACGCTCGTGTGCTGTCTTGGGTCTTTCTTCGGCCCCTCTGATCACCGCTCTGATCGCTTAGGAACCTTATATGAAAACCTATTGGGCCTCTTTTTGGCTTAGTTGGGGCTTCCTTGGGCAGTCTTGGGGTCATCCAGGCCGTCTGGGGGCTCTCTCAGGGGGTCTCTTGGGCTGTCCTGGGGCGATACCGGAGGCCTTCTCGGTTGTTTTGGACGCTGCTAAGACCCGAAAGCGAATATGCTGAAAGTGCACGTTTCCCTAAGGGAAGAAAGCGATTTCTGCGTTCTGAGAACCCCATTGAGGGCCTCCTGGGCCGTCTTGGGGGCCGTTGAAGGCCCTCTGGGTTCTTCTTTGAGCGCTCTTGTGCCGTCTTGGGTCCTTCTTCGGCCCCTCTGGTCACCGCTCTGATCGCTCAGGAAACTTATAGTATTGCTTTTTTACACTTAGAAAATAATACAATTACAATATAATAAAAATAATAATAATAATAATAATAATAATAATAATAGAAAAAGTTTGGCTTAGTTGGGGCTTCCTTGGGCAGTCTTGGGGTCATCCAGGCCGTCTGGGGGCTCTCTCAGGGGGTCTCTTGGGCTGTCCTGGGGCGATACCGGAGGCCTTCTCGGCTGATTTGGACGCTGCTAAGATTTCTCTGATCACCGCTCTGATCGCTTGGGGCCTGCTGGCAGGACTCAGCTGCGCGCCCTGGGAGGTCCGGGATGAGCCGAGGGGCCTCTGGCAATGGCGTCCAGGGGGTCCGGAAACGCCAATTCCTGGGGTCCAGTTTTTTTGTTGTGGGGGGTGAGGGGTTGTTTCCACCCCCTCGGCTTGCAAAAACATGAGAGGAGGAATATATATATATATATACATACATATATACATATATATATGGCACAAACACAGAGACAGAGACAAAGAGAAAGAGCGCAAATCATACTTAAAAGCAGTCAGACTATACAGAGAGGCATCGAGAGAGAGAGGGGAGAGAAAGAGAGAGAGAGAGAACAACATGATCGACCCACGAACCTGGAAAGGAATATAGAACTGTAACACATGGCAGCGTTTTCAAAGACACCTGATTGGGTGACGGGCAAATGCAATGCTGAGTGTATCGATCTTGATGTACCCTGCCAAGGGCTGTGCTGTGCTGCGCCGTGCTGAATTGCGATGTGCCATGGCGCGACTGCGCTCTATAGCGTCGTGGATCGAGTCCTCCTTTGCATCCGAGTTCTGACCGAACTGATCTGGATCTTAAGCTCGAGCTGCCTGAACACATAGTAGCTGCCCCAGAGCTAATGGACAGGGGAACATGCCAGGAGGACGCGCCGCGAAACGTCCCAAGGGATGCGCCAGGCGACGTGCCAGGGGACGCGCCATGGGGTCGCACCGTAGGACGTGCCAAAGGGACGCGCTACGGAACGTGCCAATGGATGTGCCACGGAATGTGCCAGGGGACGCGCCACGCGACGTGCCAGGGGGACTCGCCAAGGGACGCCCCACGGAACGTGCCAAGGAACGTGCCAAGTTGCAATGCTGAGTGTATCGATCTTGATGTACCCTGCCGAGGGCTGTGCTGTGCTGCACCGTGCTGAATTGCGATGTGCCATGCCGCGGTTGTGCTCTATAGCGTCGTGGATCGAGTCCTCCTTTGCATCCGAGTCCTGACCGAACTGATCTGGATCTTAAGCTCGAGCTGCCTGAACACATAGTAGCTGCCCCAGAGCTAATTGACAGGGGAACATGCCAGGAGGACGCGCCGCGAAACGTCCCAAGGGATGCGCCAGGCGACGTGCCAGGGGACGTGCCATGGGGTCGCAACGCGGGACGTGCCAAGGGGACGCGCTACTGAACGTGCTGGGGACAAGCGTTTCGCTCGAGACATCCTATCACAATCATCCGAATTCCTACGCGCGGGACGCGGCACGCGCGAGACATCCTCGGAATTCCTGCGAGCGGGACACGAAAACAAGCATTGCGCCTGAGATATCCTCTGAATTCTGGCCCCCCACGAGGCCCCCGCTCGAGACATCCCCCAATTTTGCAAAACCAGCGTTTCGCTCGAGACATCCTCAACAAATTATGAAAAACAAGCGTTTCGCTTGAGAAATCCTGTCAAAACCCAAAGAAATCAAAATTCCTGCGTGCGGGACGCGGCACGCGCGAGACATCCTCGGAATTCCTGCGCGAGGAGCGCTTTTCCGTGTCGCGGTCGGCTCTGCAAAACCAGCGTTTCGCTCGAGACATCCTCAACAAATTCTGAAACCAAGCGTTTCGCTCGAGACATCCCCAACTCTGCAAAACCAGCGTTTCGCTCGAGACATCCTCAACAAATTCTGAAAAACAAGCGTTTCGCTCGAGACATCCTCAAAAATAATTTCGCCGGCCCTACTCCGTGCGTGCCCGCTCGCAAAATAATTTCGCCGGCCCAAGTCGCAGGGGGGCCGGGGGGTAAACCTACTAAAAGAGAACCCTGGGCCCGCGCCCTTTCCGGGAAAAAGAGAGAGAGAGAGAGGGAGATGGAAAGAGAGAGAGAGAGAGAAATAGAGAGAGAGAGAGACACAGAAAAGAGAGTGAGAGGGCGAGAAGAGAGGCAGAGACAGAGACAGGCCGACAGAAACAAAGACAGGGACAGAGACGGAGACAGAGATAGAGACAGAAGCAGAGACGGAGATGGAGACCGAGACAGAGACGGAGACAGACAGAGACAGGCACAGAAGAGACACAGGGAGGCAAATGGAGGGGAAAAAGAGAGAGAGAGATAGAGAAAGAGAGCAAGGGAATGGCAGGGAGAATACGGTCGGACCGAGGTCTAAGATCGATGTCGGTTCGGGGAGGGTGCCCTAGTGATCTTCGTGTTTGTTGGATGTTCTTGTGCATCCTGGGGGAGGGTGCCCTCGAGTAATATGATGGTTTGGGGTGTATTGGCCGGCGGGGGGTCTCATGTTCTTGAGGGATGTTCTCCTGCTTTGGGTCCGACCGTAAGTGGGAGCGGAACGCGAGGGGGAAGAGGAGAAGGGGGATGGGAGTGACGAGGGCGGGGGGGGGGCGCTGCCAGTTGGACAACTGCGCCCCCTGCGCCAACTCCCTGGGGTTCGTGCGCGCGCTGTCGGCTGCCGGGCATGGGCAGGCCAGCGTTGAGGTGAAGCCTGGAAGCAGGCACGCGGAGCCGGTGGTAGAGGATTTCCCTTTTCGCATCGTGTGCCCTCCTATCCCCACGTCCCCTCCCTGCCTTCCCTCCCCCTGGCCCCATCGACTCACCAGCTCCCCTCCTCCACCTCCTCGTCCTCCTCCTCCTCCTCCATCTCCATCTCCATTCCCTCTTCGTTCTCCCTCACCTCTCCTCCTTCTCCCCTCATCATCACTCTCCCTCTCCATCCCCTCCTCCCTCTCAGTCCCATCCTCAGTATCATCATCAGCAGCAGCATCATCATCATCGTCATCATCAGCATCATCATTATCATTATCATCGTCGTCGTGGTCGTTGTCATCGTCATCGTTATCGTTATCGTCATCCCATCCCCTCCAGCCTGTAGCTTGTCCTCGCCCTCATCGCCCTCTTCCTCCTCCGCCTTCCCAATCACTATCCTCTCGCCCCATCTCCCTCATGCTCACTGTTCCTCCTATCCCTCCTCCACCATCCCCCTCTTCTGGCTCCAACTCGCTCACTCCCCGCCCCTTCTCTCTCCCCTCCGCCCCCTCCCCCTCCCCCTCGCCCTCCCCTTATTCCTCCTCTTCCCTCAGGCACCATGTCGGGTCACGCCTGCTTGAATTCAAGCCAGCTGCTTGCCTCGGATGTCCCAAGGGCCATACGACTTTGTGTGTTTGAGCGCCCTCGCGGACATCTTCTTCGTGGTGGTGCAGGATGGAGTGGGACGGTTCATATTACATAGTTATGTTTTTTCTTGGCCGTCAGTTGGATGTCCAATCGCGCTTGCCTTAGGCTGTGTTTCGCCTGGAGTCTGGAAGTTCCACCGTGCGTGCCTGTTCTTCGTTGGTGTGTGTGTGCGTATCTCTGGTATCGCAGTGGACGGCAGTACCTCGTCGCCGCGTGCCCCTGGGAGATTTGCGGGTCTTGCGGCACGTCGGTGTGCGGTTGCGGTTGCGGGGCCTTACATAGTTTGTTACGCATGTTTACATATGTTCTGGATGGCTTTGTTTCTGGGGCTCGTGTACCGTATCTCCTACAGCTTTGAGATGCTATGATCCCCCATTCAGAGCTTGCCTCTGTAGGGGTCCTAGCGGATTCGTATGGTTGGGTGAGGTGTGCCGCCGATTTCCGCGGCCCGCCGGGTGTCGGGGTGCCCGGGTGCCCGGGTGAACAGATGCCTTATAGACCTGTAGCCCTATAGCTTTATAGCCCTATAGACCCATCGCCCAATAGCCCTAGAGCCCCATAGCCCCATAGCACCATAGATTTATAGCACTATAGCCCCGTCGCCATAGAGCCATAGAGCCCTATAGACCTATAGACCTATAGCCCTATAGCCAATAGCCTTATAGCCCTATAGCCCAAAAGCCCAATAGCCCAATATTCATATAGCCCTGTAGCCCTATATCCGTATATCCCTATAACCCATGGCCTTATAGTCCTATAGCCCTATGGCCCTATAGCCCTATAGCCCTATATGCCTATAGCCCTATTGCCCGATAGCCCGATATCCCTATAGCCCTATAGCCCTACGGTCCGATAGCCCTGTAGCCCTGTAGCCCTATAGACTCACAGCCCTATTGCCTTATAGCCCCAGAGCCCTCTAGCCCTGCAGCCCTATAGCCAGATAGCCCTATAGCCCTATGTCCCTATAGCCCTATAGTTCCATAACCCTATAGCTCCATAGCCCCATCGCCCTATAGCACAATGGCCCCATAGCCCTATAGCCCTAAAAAGACGTTGGTTGGGTTTTTTTCCTCCGGTATCATTATTGTTCTCGCTTGTTCCGAGTATGTTGGATAGATGGGCTCACGGGCATTGTGTGTCTTGGGCGATGCATTTGGCCGTTAAACGGTTAGTTGCACGCACGGGTCTTATATGTTAGTTTCGGATTTGTGTGTGTGTCCGTCTTTGTGTTGTATGCCACGCCGTTGTATGTCATGTATGGTTTGGACCTCTTGCTGCTGCTGGTCAAACTTGCCGTTGGGTGCCTGCTTGTTCGTGCTGCTCGAGGCGGGCCTCGTCGTCTGTTCCTTCGTACATAGCGATGACTACGGGGCGGCGGAGTCCTGTCCACTGGGTGTGTATAATGTGGCATGTTGCGCGCAAAAGGCCCGGCCCGAGGTGCGAGGCATGTTGCGCGCAAAAGACTAGTCCTCCTCCTCCTCATCCTCATCCTCATCCTCATCCTCATCCCTCCTTCCCTCCCCTCCCCCTCCTCCTCCTCCTCCTCCTCCTCCTCCTCCTCCTCCTCCTTCTCCTCCTCCTCCCTCCCGCCTCCCTCCCTCCCTTCCTCCCTCCCTCCTCCCTCCCTCCTCCCTCCCTCCCTCACTCCCACCCTCCATCGTCCGCCTCCTCCTCCTCCTCCGCCTCCTCGCCCTCCCTCCCTCCATCCCTCCCTCCCGCCGCCCTCCCTCCACTCCCTCCCGTCTCCCCGTCGTCGTCGCCCCCCCCTCCCCGATCGGCCTAGGACCCCCTGGTGGGCGACGACGTCCAGGTGCGCATGGCGCTAGGCATGCTTTTCGGCAGGGAGGAGGGGCTCGCGCGCTACCGCGCCATGCCGCCCCCAGCCGGCGGAGGCTTAGGCGGGGACGGCGCCCCCCTTCTTGCCCCCAGGTCGTCGTCGTCGTCGTCGTCGGCGGCGGCGGCGGCAGCGGTCGGCGTCGCGTCGGCGTGGGCGTCCTCCTCCTCCTCGTCCTCCTCCTCTTCCTCCTCTTCCTCCTCCTCCTCCTCCTCCTCCTCCTCCTCCTCCTCCTCCTCCTCCTCCTCCTCCTCCTCCTACTGACTCCTCCTCGTCCTCGTCCTCCTCCTCCTCCTCCTCCACGTAGTCCTCCAATCCCAAGAGGGGAAGAAGGAGGAGGACGAGGAAGACGAAGAGGAAGGAGCACGTAGGGAAAAGGGACCGGGATGAGGGAGGCGAAGGGACAAACAGCGTTGGAACCCAGAGTTCGGAACCTTAAACTCCAGAGCTTACGGTTTTGACCTCTCCGGTTACGTTGAATGAGCTTGCAAACCTTAACCTCTAGAGTTTAAGATTTTTGAGCTCCAGAGCTCCAGGGCGCCGTCCTGGGAAGCTCTTGGGGGGCCTTTGGGAGGCCAGTCGGAGTCATCTTGGGAGGCTTTTGAAGGGCTCCTTGGGAGGCCCTTAAAGAGCCTTTCTGGGAGGCCCTTCAGAGGCGTCTTGGGAGGCCCGTAAGAGGCTTCTTGGGAGGCCCTTACGAAACTTCCTGGGAGGCCCTAGAGTGGCCTCTTGGGAGGCCTTTACAAGGCCTCTTGGGCGGCCCTTGCGAGGCATCTTGGGAGTTCCTTACAAGGCCTCCAGGGAGGCCCGTTGCGTTTCTCCCCCGCCCCGAGGACGAGGCGAAACTGCGCGAGTGCGAGAGAAACCCTCCCTAGCCAGGGGCATGCACGTCAGATTGTTTACCGCCCCGTCCGCCGCATGCGTCCCCGGCGCGTCCCTGGGCTATCCCGTGGTTGCCCCACGGTTGTCTTGTGGTTATCGCGTGCAGTTGTCCCGCGCTGACGGCTCCAGGACGTCCGCATGGCGGTGGTGACGATGGTAGTGGTTATGGTGGTGATGCTCATGATGATGATGATGATGCTGAGGATGATGGTGGTGGTCATAATGGTGATGGTGGTGGTGATTACGATGGTGATGACGATGGTGGTGGTGGCGGTGACGGTGATGATGGTGATGGTAATGGTCGTGGTGATGGTGATGGTAGTGGGTGTTATGGTGATGGAAACGATGATGGATGGTGATGGCGAGGGAGATTGTGTTGCTGCCCATAATTATCGTGATGACGTATATGGCTGGTGATGGTGATGGTGATGATGATGATGATGATAATTATGATGACGATCGTGATGAGTATGAAGCTGATACTGCTGGCTATGATGATAGTAATCATGATGTTGACGAAGCTGGTTGGTATTATGATGACATCACACATGACGATGACTGTACACAGGGCTGCTGATGGTGGCGATGATGGTGATGGTGATGGTGATAGTGATGGTGACGATTCATCTGATGATTCTGACGATCATGGTGGTGGCGGCGAGGAGGATACCGACGACACAGGACACTAATGACAACACGAATGCTGATGATGATGGGCAGGGTGCTGACGGTGACGAAATTGATGATACTGATTTTAATGACGATAGCGGTGACGACGTTAACGATGAGCATGGTGTTGATGATGATGACGCTGGCCATTGCGACGCTGACGACCATGAGGACAATGGTGAGGAGGACGGCGAGGCCGATGACGATAACGATACCGACATGACACTGACGACGACATGAATGCTGATGATGATAGGCAGGGTGACGACGAGGATAATTTGATTACCATGACCCTGCTCATGATGATGATGACGCTGGCCATGACGACGCCGACGACGATGAGGACAATAATGATGAGGACGACGATGACGATGACTATTACGACGATGATGATCACGATGAAGCGGATGCTGAATGTAATGATGGTGCTGGTGATGTAGAAAGAGGAGAGGGAGGAGGGAGGTAGGGCGGATAAGGAGGTAGAGCGGAGGAGACGGAGGAGGAGGTAGAGCAGGCAGGGGAGGAGATGCAGCTGCCATGCCATGCTATCTGCGCCAGCCTGTTGCTCCCTGACGGGTGAAGATGTTCGTCCCTCGCCCCTCCGATCCCAACAGGAGGAGGGAGAAGATCAGAGGAGGAGGAAGAAGAGCACCAGGCAGGGGAGGAAGATGAAAGGCGAGGAGGAACTCCTCCTCCTCCTCCTCCTCCTCCTCCTCCTCCTCCTCCTCCTCCTCCTCCTCCTCCTCGCTCCTCGTTCCTCGTTCCTCGATCCTCCCTTCTCATCCCTCGTCCTTCCTCCTTTCTCGGGCCCCGCTCGCCCTCCCTCCTCGCTCCCTCCTCCCTCCTCCCCCTCCTCCCTCCCTCCCGCCTCCCCCTCCTCCCCCCCCCTCCGGCAGCTGGACGCCGCCCCCGCCGAAGCCGCCCCCGCTCCAGAATTCACGGCCCCCACTGCGGTTGTGGACATTGCACGCGGGCTCATGCCGTTCTGACGCGCGCCCGCCGCCGCCGCCGCCGCCGCCGCCGCCGCCCGCCCGCGGCGCGAGGCCCCGAGCCGTGCAGCGCCTCTGCCGGCCGGCTCCGCGCGCCCGGGGTGGCGCCCCGGAGGGCGCCCGCCTCGAGGCGCGCGCGCTCCCGGAGCAAACTGCTTCGCCTCCGGACGAGCTCTGTATTTTTGCCGCGCGCGCGCTCCTGAAGCAAACTGCTTCGCTCGCCGACGAATTCGACGTGCTCCGTTTCTGTTCTGTTCCCGGGGGCGGCGAGCAAGCCAGGCCTCCGGCGCTGCGAAAGAGGGCTGGGCAAACATTTTCTCTGGGTCTGGGCATTTGGGGGCCACGTGCACGAGCTCCGGGGCCTGCAACAAAAAAAATCATCGGCGAAAGATCGTCCGAGGGGTAAGGTCGAGAGCTCCTGGGAAGCCCAACGTGAAGAAGCTCGCGGTGTCGAAGGCTTGGTAAGGGGATCAGGATAAGGAGACACACTTCTGAGAAGACAGGGGAGGGTTCCTAGAAGGGGTCGGCCGATTTTCAAGCCATGCCCATGCACACACAGACTCACTACCCGGGAGCGGCGGGTATACTTCGAACGGTGTCCTCCTGACCCCGACCCCTCTTGCTGGCCGCCAACCTTTACGAGGCCGCGCGCGCGGATCCGTCCCAGGGCACATGCTCTTTCGAGAGTTGCTTGCGCTGCTTGGCCGTGAAGGCCACTCGAAGCCCCCTTACCCCTCCCAACCCAGCTTCCTCCAAATCCCTGCCTCCCTCCCATGAACGAAAAATCTTCCTCCTCCTCTTGCTCGTGCTCCTGACCCTCATCGGACTCGCCGAGGCGGGAGGCATCCTGCCTCTCTTTTTGTTTACGCGCACCGCTTCCACTGTATTCAGCTAAAGAGGCGCTGCGCATCAAGTATCACGCCAACGCGCTGCACAAGGCGAGCCCGTCCACGGACCAGGCACGGAACGGTGCACTGTTGCAGGCCTGTTGTGTTTAATATCGTGCCTTGCACCGGTGCGTTCCCGTGGTCGCCCCTGAGGAAAATCGTCATGTCGGTGTCGTTCAGTCGTGCACGAAGACAGCTGTTTCCGAGCGCATCGGGACGGTCAAAGCCGATGGTTCTTCAATGGCTTTGGGCAGGCAGGCAGAATACGGCTTTCTCTTAACAGATTGTCTGGCAGGACAGGTACATCTCTTATGACTGATCAGCAGTTGGACTGCCAGATCCAGGATCGGTCGGGCGACGGGGCATCCCGTTGCCTCCCTCGGCTTCCCATGATTAGTAGGTTCGGACGACGTGACCTCCCGTTCCCTCCCTTTGCCGTTCATGCCCCAATTCCCCACACAGTGCTTGCAATTACGGGTTCTTACATGTTCCCTAAACAGTGCATGCGCTCAGGGTCTCTTCTTTCTTCTCTAAGGAACTGGGCCTGTGTGGCCGTCCGGCGGCTATGCCGTGGCCGTCGCCGCCCCGTCGCCGCCTTGTCGCCGCCCGTCGTCTGGGCCTGTGTGGCAGTCTAGCGGCTTTGTCGTCGCCATCGCCGCCCGGTCGCCGCCTCGTTGCCGCCCGTCTGGGCCTGTGTGGCCGTCCGGCGGCCATGTCGTCGCCGTCGCCGCACCGTCGCCGCCTCGTCGCCGCCCGTCGTCTGGGCCTGCGTGGCGGCCCGGCGGCTAAATATAGGTGGGACCACATGAATTGCACAACGTAGATCGCACCACTTGTATGTTCCTTTGTAAGAGAGTATTACGATCTACCTTCCCCCGGGGCTAACGGTACACTTTCCCGCATTGCAACTTACATACGATTCTACCCCATCGTCCATCCAGGCTGGAGTTCGTCCCCCCCTCATCCTCTGCAAACCAAAAAAAAAAAAAACAAAAAAACAAAAAAAAAAAAAAAAAAAAAAAAAAAAAAAAAAAAAAAAAAAAAAAAAAAAAAAAAAAAAAAAAAAAAAAAACGCGCGCTCACTCGACGATCAAAGCTTATCAGTTGTCAAGAACCCCTTGCAAAAAGCTGAACGAAGTGCACACGCGCGCGTCCTCGCGCGCGCATGCCGAAATCCTTCAAAACCCCCAGGTTGCGTGAGGATTTCAAAAACCTAGCGGCACGGACACATACCAAAAACACATAGCTTCGCGACCAAATGTTCAAAACAAGTTTGTGTTCGCGCAATTGCGAATTTCTAAAGAAACCATCGGTTTTTCAACATTTTTATAAAGTGATTCCAAATTTGCTTTTCGCGCGCGCGTGCCGAAATCGTTCGAACGCCCTTGCGCGCGTGTTGTCGCAAGAATCCCCTGCAAAAAACGAGACGAAGTGCACACGCGCGTGTCGTCCGGCGCGCATGCCGAAGTCCTTCCCCGAAAACGTATATACATACATATATATATATATGTGCAACAACAGTGTTCGACAAGTTCCTGCGTTCGCGCTCTTGCGGATTATTCGGGAAACTATCGGTTTTCCAACAGGTTCGTCAAATTCTACCAAAAATGCCTCTCATGCCGAACTCATTCGAACACCCTTGCGCGCGTGCTGGGGGGGGACACGATCCGTGTCAAATGATACCACGCGGGCCACTCGCGCGCGTCGGCCCCGCGCGCGTGTCGAACTCCTTCAAAAAAATATCGCCGACGCGAGTACATCGTCATCGTTACCGGCGGGTGTGATCATCTTCGGCGCCGTCATTGGCTTTGCCGTCGTTATCGCCACTATCGTCACCATCATCGCTATTGTCATAATCGTGTCTGCCTTTGTCGGCGTCGCCATGATACCACGTCCGCCCAAGTCACCGACTGTCATTGAAGTGCCCGCGGGGAAGTGCCCAGCGGTCAGCGCCACCGTGGTCGCGTCGGTCGCGCCAAATTAGCTGGCCGCTGCGCGCGCGTGCGTGCGCGGGTTAGCGCAGCTGCAAAGATGCACCAGCCAACGCCAAGCACTCATCTCAATCGCCGCCGCATGGGTTTTGCTAACCAAGTTGCGGGTGGGTAGATGGGAGGCTGACAAGAGTATGGAATGTGTCAATTCGCTCGTACAAATAAATTCCTTTTTCTAAAGAGAGAGTAGACTCTACCCCCCCGGACTTATCGGTTCCTCTTGGGATCGTATAATTTCATATATATATATATATATATACATTTTATATATATATATATATATATATGTAAAGAGAGAGAGAGAGAGAGAGAGATTCTGCACACTCGTCCATCCTAAATATGAAGTCATATCATCCCAGCCAGGCCAGGTTCGCCCCCCTGAGGTTCCCTTGTAAAGAAAAACGCTATGCGGTGACATTTTTTTGCTCTAACATAACACTTGTTCACGAATCCTTCGCACAAAAAAATAGACGAAGTGCAGACGCGCGCGTCGTCGCGCGCGCATGCCAAAATCCTTCAAAAAACTTCGGTGCCGGGAAGATTTCGCAATCGAGTTTTTTTTTTTTTTTTTAAAAAAAAAAAAAAAAAAAAAAAAAAAAAAAAAAAAAAATAGTTTCGCAACACTGATTTGCTAAAACAGCTTCCGCGCGAGCTCTTGCGAATTCTTAAGAAAACCATACGTGTTTCATGACTTTTCGCAACATGCTACCAAACGGGCTTCGCGCGCGCATGTCAAAATCTGTCGAACGCCCTTGCGCGTGTGCCGTCGCGAGAATCCTCTGCAAAAAACGGGACGAAGTGCAGACGCGCGCGTCGTCGCGGGCGTACGCCGAAAACTTTCAAAACCCATCAGTTTCGGAAGGATTTCAAAATCGTGCGTCCAAAAAACCTACAAAAACCCAAGGTTTCGCAACACGGAATTTCACCAAAAGCGTGCGCGCGCGCTCTTGTGTCGTCGTCGTCGTCGTCGCCGTCCTCCCTCCTCCCGCGTCGTCGTCGTCGTCGCCTACGTCGTCCTCTGTCTTTCCTCGTGTTCGTCGTCGTCGTCCTCTTTGGCGTCGTGGTCGTTTCCGTCGTCGTTGTCGCCGTGGTCGTCCTTCCTCCTCCTCCCTCGTCGTCGTCGTCGTCCGTCGTCGGCGTCTCGTCGTCGTCCCTCCTATTTCGTCGCCGTCGTCGTCGTCGTTGTCGTCGTCGTCTTCCCTCCTCCCTCGTCGTTGTCGTCGTCGGCGTCGCCGTTCTTCCTCCTTCGTCGTCGTTCGCGTCGTCGCCGTCCTCCCTCCTCTCTCGTCGTTGTCGTCGTTGTCGTCGTTGTCGCCGTCGTCGTCCTTCCTCCTCCCTCGCCGTCGCCTTCGTTGGCGACGTCGTCGTCTTCGTCGGCGTCGGCGTCGTTGTCGTCGTCGAAGTCGTCGGAGACGTCGTTGGTGTCGTCCTAGTCGTTGTCGTCGGTGTCGTCGTAGTCGGTCTTAAGAGGTTTTGCAAACCAAAGTGCGGGTGGGTGGGTGGGATGTTTGCACGAGCAGTGGAGAGGACAGCTTCAAGACAGTCAAAGTGGATTCCACCACATAGACTGCACCACGTATTTTGCATAGAGTAGATAGCACCACATAGACAGCACTGCATATATTGCACAACCCAGAAGCACAACGTTTGGGGCCCACGTTGGCTAACATTTGTCATCGGGAGCTGTTTCTGCGTGGCGGTCTGGCAGCTTCCTGGTCACTGTCGCTGCGTCGTCGCCGCCCGTCGTCTGGGTCTACGTGGCGGTCCTGCGGCTATATATGGTCGCCGTCGCCGCCTCGTCGCCGCCCGTCGTCTAGGTCCGCGTGGCGGTCTGCCGGTTCCGTGGTCGCCGTCGCCGCTCCGGCGCCGCCTCGTCGCCGCCCGCCCTGTGGCCTTGCATGGATCTGCATTCCGTCGCATAGCGTTGCATCGATTTGTACACCTTGGACGATGCTTAAGAAAACTTAAGTTTTCGGCCAGAGTCTCGATTATTCTTAACGTTTCAATGTAAATCTTAAGATGTTAACAGAAATGTTGGGTTTTTATTCAAGTTTTGAGACTATGAATTTCTTAACCCATGATTTCTGAAGCATTTCGCAGGGTGTACCGTTTGCATTGCAGTGTAACCGCACTGCGTTGCATTCGATTTGCACTGCATTGTTTGACGTTGGTTCTCCTTTCTACAAGAAGAATCGACTCTTCCCCCCCCCCGGAGGTAACGATCCCCCCCTGGGGTATTGCGATTTCATACTTACTTTACACGCTCGTCCATCCTACATATGAATTCCTATTATCCCAGCAAAACCGGTATCACTCCCCCCCCGCCATCCTTTGCTAAAAAAATGTTTTTAAGCGCACATGCGTTTCACAAAAATCAGCAAAAAAAGGAGGAAGTGCACGCGCGCGCGTCGTCGCGCGCGCATGCCGAAATCCTTCAAGAACCTTCAGTTTCGGAAGGACTTCAAAATCAAGTTTCCAAAAAAATGGTCTCGCAACATCGATGTTCTAAAAAAAGCTTATGCGCGCGCCCTTGCGAAATCTTATGAAAACCACGGTTTTTGTTACAAGATGTTCAAAACATGCTACTGAACGGGCTTCGCGCGCGCATGTCGAAATCTTTCGAGCGTTCTTGCGCGCGTGCCGTCGTGAGAATCCTTCGCAAGAAACGGGACGAAGTGCAGACGCGCGCGTCGTCGCGCGCGCATGCCGAAATGCTTCAAAAACATCCGGTTTCGGAAGGATTTCGAAATTCCAAAAAACATATAAAAAAAAAAAAAAAAAAAAAAAAAAAAAAAAAAAAAGGTTTAGCAACACGGATGTTCAACAAAGGCGTGCGCGCGCGCTCTTGCGTCGTCGTCGTCGTCGTCGTCGCCGTCCTCCTTCCTCCCTCGTCATCGTC